TATTTTACCACTTTATCGTTCAAAATATGAATGTTCATTGGGGTTTTTTACGGATTTTTTTCACTATTTTACCACTTTAACTAGTTGTATAAGTCATAAGAATGTATCCAACATGTTTTATAAAAGTTCAAGAAGTTATTTAACATGTTTTGGATTGTTCAAGGACTTATTTGTTCCAAAAATTGTCCAAGGAGTTATTTAACATTTTTTGGAATGTTCAAGGACTTATTTGTTCCAAAAATTGTCCAATGAGTTATTTAACATTTTTTGGAATGTCCAAGGACTTATTTATTCCAAAAAATTGTCTAAGAACTTATTTAACATATTTTGAAATATCCAAGAATTTATTTATTCCAAAAAATTATCCAAACACTTATTTAACATGTTTTAAAATGTCTAAAATCTTATTTATTCAAAAAAAAATATAAGTACTTAAATCATTTCAAATAAGAAAGTTTTCGATTTTGATTGCAGAAGTCGAGAAAGGGCGAATATTTTATATCCCAAAAACTGAGATAACACCTCGAGGAAAGCAAATACTATCGTCAAACTGCTATAGTTTTTCGGCAAGGAAGCTGTGGAAAGATGGAGATGGAAGTAAGAGCAGTAAGAGGACTGGAAGGATGCTACGTTTCACTACCACTTCATCTCATTCAAACTCTTCAATCCACTTCTTCTTCTGCTTCTCTGTTTTCATTTCTAGCTCTTGAGCTTCGTTCAATTGCCAACAATGATGACGTCTGGTACGTTGCTTGGTCTGGCTCTGCATCCTCTAGCTCTTCCGCCATTGAGGTAGTCATCTATCTCTATAGCTATCTCGCCCTCGTGTGTTTCTCGATTTCAACTTTGTTATAATCTCTGTGTGTGTGGTTTTATGAATCGAGGTTTTAGGTTTGAAATTCACTATTTAACACTTTCTGTGAGGAATTCTGAATTAGAATACATATAAAAAAATTTTAAGGACCTTATGATAGTATTTGTAAGATGAAATTCAAGGTTTCGAATTGGAATTGAATCAAAATTGGTTGAAGTAAACCGTGAATTCTGCTCGCACATGGAATAGAAGTTTCCAAATCTACCGTGAGCAATCTCAACTCAAATACTTAAGTTTCTCTAACTTCATTCTATTTCGATCTAAAGATTTTGGATTTTGAAGTCTTAATGCCACTTCTAAGAAAGTTCTTCCTCCTATCGACGAAAAAAATAGCTACACTTTGATTTTTAACGTCAAATGTAATTTTGCTTTGTCTACACAGTCTATCGTCTTTTGTAAAAACATGAAACTAAAATACCTATTTGCAGTGCCATTCTTAGGGGGTATTAATGGTATTGATTTTGGTCCCTAGAGTTCAATCCATTTTTTTTTATTAAACTATGTTAGCGTTGAATCTTACAATTATGGGACTGAGCAGATAGTATTTCTGTTACAAGTTCAACAGTTATTTATGTGGTACATGTATCAACAGTTAATATATTTAGCAATTATTTAAAAACATATAAGATTGATACCAGTTTTGAAGTCCATAATAGCCAAGGTATTGACAGATATCATATGTGTTGGACTTGGTCAGTTAGGATTTGGAAAAAGATCCTATTTGTTTAGGGATATTAGTTGTTTTTTTTTATTCAGCCTCGTTTTTATCCCGTTCTCTTGGGAGCAGTAGTTATTTTTCTATCTGTCATTTATCTTCTATTGAAAGGCCATTTGGCTGTTCTTCATAAATTATCTTTTGGAGTTTGGCTTCAATTGCTTTCGTATCAGAGAGATACTCAATATTTGGTATCAGAGCCATACGAGAAGGATTAGTGTGAGTACCCCCAACCACAGAGTGAGTGAAATGGCAACATCAACATCTTCCTCTGAGAAATTTGTGCAACCCTCAATTCTGAAGTTTGATGGTCATTTCGACCATTGGTCGATGCTAATGGAAAACTTCTTGAGGAGCAAGGAGATGTGGAACCAGATTGAGGAAAGAATTCTGATGGCGGCAACTGGATCACCGACTGCAACTGAAGCACAAAAGAAAGCCATTAATGATGCTAAGCTGAAAGATTTGAGAGTTAATCCAGACCATTGATAGGGAAATATTAGATACCATTCTTGACAAGAGCAGAAGTATGAGGGATCAACTAAGGTCAAAAGAGCACAACTACACGCTTTGAGGAAGGAATACGAGATGTTGCTGATGAAGGAAGGGGAGAAGGTGGATTCTTATGTAGCAAGAACGTTGATCATTGTCAACAAGATGAAAGGCGAATGGGGAGAATATGCCGCAACACACCGTCGTCTCCAAAATTCTTTGATCATTAACACAAAAATTCATTTACGTCGTGTGTTCAATCGAGGAATCAAACAACCTCGAGATGATGACAATTGATGAGCTACATGGGAGCTTACTCATACATGAATAAAGGATGTTTAGCCAAGAGGAAGAACAAGCTTTAAAGATTGTTGAGTCAAGTGTTAGAGGTCGTGGAAAGGGCGGGTTTAGAGGACGTGGAAGAGGGCGAGGCAAGACTTCCGTCAACAAAAATCTAATCGAATGTTATAAGTGACATAAGCTGGGACATTTCCAGCTTGAATGTCCTGACTGGGAAAAAGATGCAAACTATGTTGAGGATGTGGAGGAAGCGGTATTGATGGCACAAGTTGAAAATGTGAAAACTATAACAGAGGAAGCATGGTTCTTAGACTCAGGCTGCAACAACCACATGTGTGATGACACACAATGGTTCTGTGATCTTGGTGAAAGTTTTAGACATAGTCTTAAGCTCGACAACAATGTAAAAATGCCAGTCATGGGGAGAGGAAATGCTTGTTTCTCTGTTAATGGTGTGATACATGTCATTACTAATGTGTACTTTGTACCTCAGTTGAGGAACAATTTGATCAGTCTTGGTCAAGTTCAGGAGAAGGGAGCTACAATATTGATACGAGATAGGGAGTGCAACATTTATCATCCAATCAAGGGATTGATCATCAAGTCACTCATGTCGACAAGCCGAGTGTTTATAGTAATAGCCAACACAATATCTAAAGAGCCTGCATGGTTTAACACAGTCTCTGAAGAAAGCACACATTTATGGCACTGTGAGTTCGGTCATCTCAACTACAAGGGATTAAGGGCGTTAAATCTTGAGAAAATGGTGTTTGAATTACCTGAAATGAAAACGCCAAAGAAGCTGTGTAAAGAATGTATCATAGGAGAACGCCATAGAGACAACTTTCCAAAGAAAAGCTCATGGAGGGCAAACCAAAAACTTCAACCGGTTCATTCTGATCTTTGTGGTCGAATATCTTTAGAATCCAGCAGTCACAAAAGGTACATCATAACCTTTACAGATGACTACTCCAGGAAGAGTTGGGTCTATTTCCTAGCCGAGAAGTCACAAACCTTTGAGACATTCAGAAAATTCATAGCTTTGGTTAAAAGAGAAACAAGTTTATGGTTGCAATGCTTGAGGACAGACAGGGAAGGGGAGTACAACTCAAAGGAGTTCAAGCAACATTGTGACGAACACGGAATTCAGAGACAATTCACAACATCCTTTACGCCTCATCAAAATGGCGTTGCCGAGAGAAAGAACAAAATGGTTCTTAATAGGGTACGATGTATGTTACTCGGCAAAAATGTCTCACAGAAGTTTTGGCTAGAAGCAACTACATGGAGTATGTATATTCTGAACCGAAGTCCTACCGCTGCACTATAAAGAACCCGAGAAGAAGCTTGGAGCAATCAGAAACCAACTGTAAGTTTTTTAAAAATCTTTGGTTGTATTGCTCATGCTCATATATCCCAAGAAAATAGAAAGAAATTGGGCCAACGAAGTATCATGTGTGTTATGTTTGGAATAAGCGAAGAGTCTAAAGCCTATAGGTTGTATGATCTATTGGAAAATAAGATTATTGTGATCAAAGATGTTTTCGAAGAAGATGCTGAATGGGATTGGGGACTAAAATTCAAAAACGAAACGTTGGTGTATGGCCACGATACAGATGATGATCAAGAAGAGAGTGAGGAGAAAGATGCAAATAGTAGTTCCAACGAAGCGGTACAAAGTGGAACTCAAGATTCAAATAACGCAAATGAACGTGTTGAAGAAGAGCCTCAAGTTCAAAACGACAATAGGACTCGAAAAAATCTGGTGTGGATGGGAGACTAAGTTTCTGGAGAAGGCTTACCAGATGCAGGAGATGAAGGTAATAACTTTGCGATGTTTACGTCCCACAATGATCCATTTACATATGAAGCAGCTGCTTGCAGCACCAAATGGAGAAGGGCAATGGATTTGGAAATCGAGGCTACAACAAAAATAACACACCAAAGGGCCTTTGGCCTAGCAGTATGTGAGTCCTTGGCCTCCTAGGAGGTCAAGGGTTCAAATCTCATCAAAGGTGAGGAGGGTGTGTGACTTTATTTGTTCTATTTGCCATATATAAATATTATATCCTTAAAAAAAATAATACATGGCAATTGTGTGATCTACCCGAGGGGGCTAAGGCCATAGGTGTGAAATGGCCATTCAAAACAAAATTCAACGAAAAAGAAGTGGTAAGTGCAAAGCTCGTTTGGTTGCGAAGGGGTACGCTCAAAAGTTCGGGATGGACAACACATAAGTATTTGCTCCGGTAGCTAGGTGGGACAAAATCAGGGCAATCGTTGCTCTTGCAGCTCAAAAAGGCATGAAGATACATGAACTAGATGTAAAGAGAGCGTTCTTGCATGGAAGACTTGCAGAAACTGTTTACGACGAACAACCACAAGGCTATGAACAAGAAGGCAAGGAGGAGAAAGTATACAAGTTAAATAGGGCACTTTATGGCCTCAAGCAGGCTCCAAAGGCGTGGTATAGTCGCATTGAGACTTATTTTAAAGATAATGGTTTTCAGAAGTGCCCTCATGAGCCCACTCTTTTTGTAAGAACAGGTAGCGAAGATGATGTTCTTATTGTTTCAATATATGTGGATGATCTTATTGTGACAAGAAATAAATTAACGATGATTTAGGAATTTAAGTCATCTATGAAAGTAGAATTCGAGATGACCGACTTGGGGGAGATGCGTTACTTCTTGGGTGTTGAAGTTATCCAAAATGCTACTGGAATACACATGAGTCAAAAGAAATGCGCCCATGAAATTCTCGAGAAGTTCAAGATGGAAGAATGTAATTCCGTACGAAATCCTATCGTTCTAGGTTGTAGACTTGAAAAGGAAGATCATAGTGCCTGGAGGTCCTAGGTTCAAATCCAAGGAGGAATAAAAATCCCCTTGTGGCCACGGAGGTTCAAATGCGGTGACTTCGGGCTACCTGCAAAGCAAAGCAGGTGGTCGCCCTGGGATTAGTCGGATCGTATAGCGGGTTGGATATCCAGGTTATTTAAAAAAAACAAATTGTTGGGAGCTTAATGTATATGACAACAACCAGGCCTGATCTGATGTTTGTTACTAGTCTGGTAAGCAGGTTCATGGAGAAGCCATCTCAAAGTTACATGGGTGCTGTTAAACGAGTCCTCCGGTACATAAAGGGCACGATGGAGTATGGGATATATTATAGACGAGGTGGATCTAATAAGCTAGTTGGATAGAAGGACAATGATTATGCTAGAGATCTCGATTGCAGAAAGAGCACATCTGTATATCTCTTTTTTCTGAGTGAAGCTGTGATAGCATGGTCCTCCAAAAGACAACTAGTGGTGGCGTTATCAACAATTGAAGCAGAGTTCATTGCCGCAACAGTGAGTGCATGTCAGGTGGTGTGCATTGGCGGATCTACAGCAATGGTGTAGGGGGCACAGGCCCCAAACAACCCTAGGAGTCATCCACTAAAACATTGTTGTAGGTTTATTTTTATTTTTGTTAACCTAAAATTATTAACAGGCCTAGGCCCAAAATAAATAAAAGTTAGACCYAATTCTAATTCTTGTCATCTCATTTAGAACTCTTACTTGAAGAAGTCATTAATTGATCAATTAAACTCTAATTCCTCTAACTTTTAAGTGTTAACTTGTTAAAATTCATCTTAGTTCTCTTGTTTTGTTTGCTATAATGCTAACGAATAAGTTATTTTTATTCTATTAAAATGGACTTTTAAGCCGAAAACCGAATAACCCAAAATCGTATTGGTTTGAAAGAGTTATTCGTTTTCAGATTTTTTTTAACATCCTTGAAAGGTGCCCCCAATAATAAAAGTTTCTGGATCCGCCACTGGTGGTGTGGCTCCGAAGAATTCTTGATAGCATAGGACTGTCACAAATTAATGGAACAACCATCTTCTGTGACAACTTGTCCACCATTAAGTTGTCAAAGAATCCAATCATGCATAGAAGAAGCAAACACATAGATGTGCGATTTCACTTTCTCAGGGATCTCATGAACAATGGAATATTGTAGTTAACTCATTGTAGCAGTCCTGAGCAAGTTGCAGACATTATGACTAAACCGCTGAAGTTAGAAGCCTTTGAGAAGCTGAGAAGCATGATGGAAATGTGTAGAGTGTTAGAATTAAACTGAAGCAGTGCGTTTCAGCTTAGGAGAAACGCTTAGGAGAAGGTATGTTGGACTTGGTCAGCTAGGATTTGGAATAAAATCCCATTTGTTTAGGGATATTAGTTGTTTTTGATTCAGTCTCGTTTTTATCCCGTTTTCTTAGAAGCAGTAGTTATGTTTCTATCTGTCATGTATCTTCTACTTTAAAGGCCATTTGGCTGTTCTTAATAAATTATCTTTTGGAATTTGGCTTCAATTGCTTCCGTATCAGAGAGATACTCAATAATATGCACTATGCATGGATGGGTAGATATATATTTATATAAAATAAATTTCTGTTTGATCATGTTTGTAATTATCGATCTCCCACAGAATCTCCCTCTTATACTTTCTTATTTCATGAAAAATTTGTTTAGAATTTTTGGGTTTCAGTTTTCTAGACAAGAGTATTAAAAACCTATTAGCTATATACCAGGTTTTTTGTAACTGTTTGAATCCATATTTTCCATACCTCCGTAGATTGCTCAGCAATTTGCAGAATGCATTCATCTGCCAGACAATACAACTGTTCAAGTACGGGCCATTCCTAATCTTCCAAAAGCCACTCTAGTGATGATGGAACCCGACACCGAGGATGATTGGGAAGTTCTAGAGCTAAATGCAGAGCATGCAGAGGCAGCCATTTTGAAGCAGGTGCCAACACGATATATTGTATATCTTGTTTATTTGTAATATCTTCTTATTAAATGAATTTGGGAAATATCTTGGTGTGGCAATTGGGTCGATCTTTTCCTTGTAGCTTTGGTGAGAGGGAAAAAGTTCAAATTGTTTTACTATTTGATACTAGATGCAAGAGAGCATCAATGGATTTGAGGAATGACAGAGGGATTTATAGCAAGAGAAACTGTGTTTTTTCCAGTCAAACCTTTGATTAAAACTGTGGGTCTTCATAGAAACAAAGCTTCACGGTTGGCATAATTGTGTCCCTTTAGCCCGGATGCCATGGTTGCTGGAAACTCCACCAAACATGATTTCCAGCATATTTGTCTGCCTATGAATACAATATCATTGCCACCAAATGGGCTAATGGATTCCAACCTTGATATTTTAGGTCATTGTACTTGGTAGACAAAATATTATCTTGAACCAGTGACCGTAACCCTGATGGATCAGCAAATTTTCTTGCAAGCCATCAAATGATTATATGGATAAATGACCTGGAGTAAAACTAAAGCATGTTAGAGTATCAACTAAGTCCACATCAGTGGCAGTGGCATTTGAATCCAGCCCCTAAAGCCTACGTATTCACTGATGCCGATCCATAATCAAAATCAGCTTCTTTTCCATTAAAAGATCAGCCCTCGCTCAAGCCCTTAAATGATCAGTGACCGTTGTCCTCATGGAACCAAAGCTTTAAGGTTGGCTCGATCATGCCCCTTTAACCCGGACGGCCGTGCAGTTGCTGCAAACTCCAAAACCAAAAGATGATGCCCAGCATAAAGTTATTGCATTTCAATAGATATCTGATGGCTACATCTGCTTCTTTTAGAATAATTTTTATTTGTTTGTTTACTGACTGCAGGTTGGAATTGTCCATGAAGCCATGAGATTTCCTTTGTGGTTGCATGGGCATACAATCATTACATTTTCGGTGGTCTCAACCTTCCCCAAGAAACCAATGGGTGAGCTGATATCTAATGTTTCCCCTCTCAGTAAATGTTTGAATATCTAATGATAAAATGCTTAGTTCTTATTTTATGAACTGAAGCATGCTTTTTTATAATACTAATACATAATGATAGAGACAACTTTTAGCCATTAAGCTCGAATTTACCATAGATAAATCATGGGTCCGCTATTCTTATCCTGTACATGTGTTTCTCAAGTACTATATTTTTTCGGTATTTATGAAGCTAAAGAACCCAAAATTAGTAAAATTTTGTTATGAGGTCATAAAACGCTTGGCATTATTATGTGAAATCTCCGGACATTCAGCTTTTGGATTATTGTGAAGCTACTTCTCAGTTCTCACTTGTGAGTGTTGTTCAGTGCAACTTGTGCCAGGGACTGAAGTTGCTGTTGCTCCCAAGAGACGCAGAAGGCCTATTGTTTCATCTGAAAGCTCCTCTAAAGAGAACCCGGTTGTAAAGGCTCTACTGCGTATCCAAGATGGAGACAGTAGATTTTTTCACAAATATGGGGTCAATGACACTGAGATGGGGGTGGTTCTCACTTCTGCTGTCTTTATTCATCCAGAAACAGCTAAAAATGTTTCACTGCATTCTCTTCAACCTGTAATTTTAGAGCAAAGATTGGTTAAGAAGGACAGGAAACTGAATCATGAAACGAATAGCTCCTCCAAGAATGGCAATTCAACTGTGAACGAAGTTGATCAGGTGCCAACTGACAAGCAGGAAATCAGACAGGCTGTTGTTCGTCTTCTAATATCAGATTCTGTGGCTAAAGGACACATCATGCTTTCTAAATCTTTACGCTATTATCTGAGAGCAGGCCTGCATTCTTGTATGTTTATTTTCTATGGCTCGTATTTTCATGCTATTAAGTGCATTAAACCCCGGATCCCTTTATGTTACTTGATTTCAGTTGAATAGTACCTCAATTGATCTTTGTAATTAAAAAAGTAGGGATATCTTGCATGCAGTTTTTGTACCACTTCCATTTTCCGGTACTTTAAAATTGCAAAGTTTGCTATACATTCCATAAAATATGAACTTGTTCTTCTATTTCCTTGCGTCATTACCTAATAAATTACAATCTGGAAATTGCATATATTATGTAAAGAGCATTCTGTTGTGGCTAATCAATATATATATATATACACCACACACATATTTTATGCTCCATTTGCTACAATAATCAATGAAGCTTGAGGAACAGTGGATGCTGTTGTTTCTGATGGTAAGCTGCATGCTTGTGCTTGAGGCTTGGATTAACTTTCAACTTTTTTGTTTGCTTTTAGAAACACTAACCCTAACTTACATTAGCAAAGAACATCTCAGTTTTTTTGTTTACGAACTTGATGGTTACTTTTTTCGCACAAGGAAGTGAAACTTGAATTGGTGGCAGTAACAATAAAGACTCAACAATAACAATCAAGCAGTCTTGCCGATCTCAATGCACTTCTGGCCAGCAGTAGTCTTTTTTCTTATTTGCTGTCTGATCATTATAAGGCAGTTGCTGATTGAGTTGTTCAAGATTTCAGTAGGCATTCTTTTTATAAATAGTTTGGTTCATACTCAATAATTAGACCTTGCTACATTCTATCTACATGTTATCTTGGTAAAATTTGTGATGAACCACTGATGGTTGTAGTTGTAGAAGTTGTATGGTCTCTTATGTAACTTCTTGTTTTAAACACTTCGAAAGAGAAATGGTATTTTTGTTGAACTTGTCGATTGTGGATTTCTCCTGTCTTTGTACACCAAATTAGACACAGACATGTGAAAGATGTCCTTTTATGCTTCCAGGGATACATGTCAAGAGTTGCAGTGTTATTTTACAACAAGATGCTCCTTCGTTTGTTCTTTCTCCTTGTCAATTTAAGATGGCTGGGAAGGTCCCTGAAAATGGCAATTTTGAATATCTTCATGGCCAAAAGGAAAATCACACAGACAATTTATCTCTCAAGACAAACTCAGACACCCATTATGACTTGACTGACTGGTCATTCCATGAGAGAATTATTGCAGTCCTTTCGGATGAATCATCAGATCATCATGATGAAGGAACTTCTGTTAGCTCAAGTAGTAGAAAGGGGTTATCTGTTCTTCTTCGTGCATGGGTTTTGGCACAACTCAAAGCCATTACAACTTTTTCTAGAACAGAGCTAAATTCAATTGTTTTGGGAAGTAAGACGTTGCTTCACTTTGAGGTGAAAGGCGTTGAGTTAGCAGACCATGCCAAACTGCATGCGTCACGTAACGAATCTTTCAAAATAAGAAAGAGAGTCGGAGAATCAGTAGTTGATATCCTGTATGTTCTGTCCGTTCCTGAGGATTCTATGCAAGGTGGAGTAGCTTATGAGCTTGATTTTTCTGAAGGAAACAGGACGAGCATGAGTCAGAGCAGCTTAGAGTTCTTTCTTGAAAACTTGTGTCTTGGTGAAGGTTTACCTCTTTATTATGTTAAAGAAAGAATATCTGCCAAGAGCTGTAACATGGAGATTGATTCTTTGAGCTGGATGGGCACAACGGCTGCAGATGTAACTAATAGTAGGTACTTTAGCTTTAATTTTTTCACTTCTGAATGTATACCCTTCAGCTTGTTTTGCTGATAATCATGACTTATGCATATTTTGCTTTATTTTTTGTGTTTTTCATCTTAATATTTATCCTTATCTTTTCTTAGTTAAGGAGTTGATATGTCAGGATGTGGTCACAAGAATGGTTGCCATTTTAGGTCTAGAAGTATTTGCCCTCATAAGTGTCTATCTTAAAGTATACTCTACTTCAAGGGAAGCAATTAAGGATGTAGTCTTTAGTGGCTTTTAGGTGTGCTAAGCATGATCATCTACTGAGCATCTGGTGCTATGAGATGGCACGCTTTGAAACATTGCCTACCTCATAATTTAGGTTTTTGGTCAGTCTTGGTTCTATCATTACCTGTTTCTTAACCCAGCAAAATTTCATTTTCAGGATATAAATATCGAATCTTGTCATTAAGTAATAAGCATGGATACTAATCATCAAAGAGAAATTTCTTTACAGATAGCAAACACATTATTGTTGTTTCATTCTTATTACCAAGTTCTAAGGCTTTAATGAACTGAAGAGGAATTTTTCTTGACCATCAGTCCTATAAGTTTGACAGCTTATTTTAAAGCTTTCTGTTTCCTACCCATTGATATGTAGCCTGCAGGCATTACTATTGTTATCTTCTTCCATCTCCTTTTTGCTGTGTGTAACGAGAGAAATGAGAAAAATAAAACAGTCTTATGCTCATGAAATACTAGTCTATTTATTTAATTCTCCATATCTGGCTTTGGATACTAATGAAGCTGTGATTGTTTTCCCTCCTGCTCGACGTAGAACCCCTGATTTTTATCTGACATGAGTGCATCCTTCCTGCAGGGTTGATGGTGTTATTGTCGCCTTCCTCTGGCATGTTCTTGAGTACTTATAATCTTCCTTTCCCTGGACATGTGTTGATTTATGGACCTCCGGTGAGCTCTTAATTCTTACTCCTGTCCCAAAAAAAGAACCCATATATGACTTTTGAATACCAAGGTACCTTTAAGCTTTAAAATTGACATGCATGTTTGTAGTTTTTGATAAAAAACTGACACATACGTTAAACTGTAATAGAACCGTAACAAGAAATCATTAATATAAGAAACTAATATATGCTCGCCTTTGTTAATTTGGAAGGCATTTACTTGAAAAGTTTAAAACAAAAAGTAGATTTTTTTTTGGGGGATGTATTATTTTTGATTTGATGATGCTTTAATAGATGAGCAGGTGAGCTTAACAACATAACCATTTCACTTTTTGTGACCATAAAAAACTTGCTTTATTTTGTTATTATTCATGGAGCTTCACTTGTCAAGCATTTACATGACCTATGTGGTTATGAAAACAGCTACAAGCTTTTATCCATACTAGTGAGATTAGGCTAAATGAAATCAAATTGAATGTAAAGACCAAGCAGTAGACTCGCTTCAAAAACTAATAGAAGAACAGTAAAACAGCTGTGGTTTAACCCTCTTTCAAGAGGTAGGTCGCTTTTCCTATGACTGCCCACTTGATTTCTTTGTCTTTAATCGTAAATGGGCATAACCTCCTAATAGCTTCTAACATGGTAACACCTACTTATAGAGTCCTCATAATCTAATTTGTGGAAACCACTTGATCTAAACAACCAAATTTACTGATTGGCTTCTTTCCATCTAATTCAGGATGCTTTTCTTCTTGAGAAAGTCGTAGGTGAAAGGTTCACCCTGGAGTTCGCTCCCAGAAATATAGCCATCCCTGCCCCCTCACGTCAATCCCACGAGCTAGTATTATTGCCTATTACTAATGCATATATTTATCATAATTAGTTTCACTCTGATAGCTATCCACTTTGCTTCCTTTTCCTTGATCATGTCTAGAATAAACCAGCAGCTTAGGCCCCTGCATTGGCCTAACATAGGAAGTACAAGATTGTGAATGCCAAAACACAAGGGTTCCACATGGATGTTGTCCTTCCTGCACTCTTGTCCGGGGAAAACCCCTTGGCATACTCCACTCATGCAATTCTCTCTTGAACTACTTCACCCCATATCAGTCTTAACCAACCTCTACCTCTCATAACAACTCTTGGTAATCTCCTCTAACCGGTGCATTCAAATGTGTATGATGGTGGTGACCAGAACACCTCAGACGATCTTGTGCCTTCTTCTCCTCAATTATTGCCATTCCAACCTTCTCCTGTATATACTTGTTTGTAATTCTGTTCCTTATTGTCAGGCAAAACATCCACCTTAACATCTGCTTTTTTGCTACAAATCATATAGTGTAGATGGTATCTTTTGATAGCCGCTCTATTTTGTAAATCTGATAGCTTGTCTTACCACCATCAAATAGAACTCACCTTCAACCTCTATAGAACATTTTGTCTTACCAGATACGACCGATGCACATGTCCACGTTGTGAAACACAGGTTACTAGATAAAAGAGATGGTGTAGGGATCTGTAAAATATTGTAAACCATGAAATGCAGTTGTTTATGATAAAAAAACATGATGGAATCATTCTAGTAGAAGAGATGACCTGTTTCTCTTTTAAAGCATGATGCAACACTCCATTTTTTTAAATAGATGACCAAAAATTTCTGTTTCACTGTTGTTGCCAATTTTAACCTTGTGGTGATAAAAAGAATCGTTACAGAGAAAAAAGATAATTTCCAAGCAATAGAAAAGAATATGCATATAAGATTGCAAACTTCTCTTAACGTTTGCAATGTTCTCTGTTTGTACTGGTTGAGAATAGAAGGCGACGCCTTTATAATTCATAACTTCCATTGAGATGCATCTTTTTTGATCTACTCGAATAAGTAGACTAATCAGGCAAGTCTCTCTGGAATAGCCTGAATCTTTTATTCTCTTGTATGTCAGGGTTCTGGGAAGACATTATTAGCCACGACTGTTGCAAAAACTATTGAAGAACATGAAGATGTCTTGGCACACATGTAGGGTATTAAGTGACATTTCTAGCTGAAATGATAACTCATAATTTATTATGTTACGAAAAATTGTCTTGATGGAGGGTTACTCTGCAGAGTTTATGTATGCTGTTCCAGACTTGCTTCGAGTAAGTCCCCAACTATCCATCAAACTCTCTCTAGGTACATATCTGAAGCATTGGATCATACTCCTTCCCTCGTGGTCCTTGACGATCTTGATAGCATTATAGCTTCACCTAATAACTCAGAAGACTACCACTCTTCACCTTCTTCTACAATGCTGATGGGATTTCTCACAGACATCTTGGATGAATGTGAGGTATAGTTGCATTCTACTGTTATTCTCATCTGATTGACCATTACTTTTGTTCTTGCATCCATCTAGATGAATCAATTATGTGAAGCCTAAATAAATCACATATATCCACAGTAGTGGGCATAATCACATATTTATGGTCTATGTTGTATGATGATATATAGCATAATAGTTTGCCTACATGCATTTAAGCTAAAATGATTCCAGCTTGAACATTGCTCGCGCTGTTGCTATTGGCTAAGTTTTTGTTCCCACGGACATAACCCACAATTTGATTAAGGTATTTTTCTTTTCCTGAAGATAGGTGTATAGTACCCTTGAGGTAGAATAAGTAATATAGTAAACGCCATCCACTTATTGAATATTCCACATTCCAGTCACGTAAAATGAGGATCCTGCTGAAATAAGAACTTTTGATGTTGTATTGTATGCAAGACATAAATTTATTCCTATCATATCACAAATTAAATGCTAGACAAAAATTGTACTAAATATTTTCCATGCTTGGTTAAGTGATATCATTGTCAACATATGTTACCTGAATAGGCCTGTTCCAGTTTCCACATAACTGTACCTCTACCTTGCTTTATAACTTGCTAACTAATAAATTTATATACGCATTAACAGGAGAAAAGGAAGAACTCATGTGGAATTGGTCCCATTGCATTCATAGCTTGTGTGCAGACCCTAACTAGCATTCCGCAGACCTTGAGCTCCTCTGGTTAGTTGCTCTACTTGTGAAAGAAGTATATACAATTGGTTGTATACACTTCGAAATGAGTTCCATTGTCTTTCCATTATAAATTCGGAATCTGAAACCTCCTTCCATATGAAATGATTGATTGCAGGAAGGTTTGACTTTCATGTGCAACTGGCTGCTCCTGCAGCTGCTGAACGTGGCGCTTTACTGAAACATGAGATTCATAAACGTTCTTTGTTATGTTCTGATGAGATTTTGTTAGATATAGCTTCCTCATGTGATGGATATGATGCATATGATCTGGTATTTGGATTTTTCTATATTTCCTTTAAATATAATTGCCAAATTACCCGCTTTATCCATTAATAGTGCATTTAAGCATGTGTTTTGTTCTTGTAATACAACAGGCAATCTAGTCCACATGCATCATTTCCAATGGGTTTTAGATTTTGTTAGTGCATGGGATATTCACTGAGCACCATGTTTTTTCCTCTCAATATGTTTGCTGGATATTCAGGATGGCTCTAAGGGATTTGTAAACATTGTTTCAGCATGATTGCTATTCTTTTATATTTTGTTACTGTTTAGGAACTTAGCCTCCGAAGTGATATGTAGTCTAGTAGGGAGGGTGTCATGGAACCGAAATTGGTTTCCACACTCTAGATATATGCCCGGCTGCTGCTACCTGCACTAATATGCCACTGCTGGAAACACGGATAGGCATGAGGCATCCTTTTCAGGAGTTATCATACTTTTGCATCTTCTTCCGCAAAAGATAAGCCAATTAATACTTTTGACTCAAATGCAACGGTTTGAGAAAAGGGGTGACCAGTGGAGGGAAGTGCATGCCGAAAAATCTGTTGGGACACTGTTAGGCCTAAAGTAGTTACTGGATAGGTTTTGGAATTTTCATTAAATTAGTTCATAATAGACAAAGGAGTTGGGATTGGGAAATGTGTTGGTCATGATTATATTTTTCTTTATTAGAGACAGTTGATTGAGTGAGCATCACAAAGTATTGGCCTATCTGGCGAATATAGGCCGTAAGTGTTGCCTATCTCGCGAATATAGGTTGCTTACTTGTTCATCAACGTTGTTTATTGTAGTTTTCGATTTTCTGTTCATTATTGATATGTTTTTGTCCTGTTCCTGTTAAATTGGTATTAGAGCTATTTCTGGGACCAATAACTGCCAAGAGAGTTGGAGAATTGAAGGAAAATTTGGAGACTAAGATTGGAGAAATCCAATCCATTATGGGATTATGTAGGATGGAGAGGATCAAAGCATGTTTTGCTTCCATGGAGGACTTTATATGGAGTTCACTGGAGGTACACATCCTAGCAAGAGGGGCTCTATCTCCTGTGATAGCAGTTGCAAGGGAAGCTGTGAAGCAGAGGGAGAGAGGAAAGAGTAACGAGAACACGGCAATGGACGGTGATAAAAAGGAAGGTGTTGAAGGTGGTGCGAGTATGAACTCATGAAAGCAATATGGGGATGCTGATGGGAAGGGGATGATCGCTGACGAGGGCGCCATGATGCAGGGCCGAAGGTGAGAAGCGTAGAAGCTAGCCTTGGTCATGTTAGGGAGCAGCCATGGTGGTCATTGGGCTTCTTCATGGAAACCAAACCAAACAAAAGCAACTGATTAAATCCCAGGTAGAGTAGGGTCTGCAAGGGGTAGGATGTACACAGACCTTTTCAAGGGGGTAGAGAGGCTGTTTCCTCTACCCCATGTTGGTGTGCAGGTCTCTTCATTAGGGAACATCAACACTGCGCAGTGAAGAGGATTGAGACACATGCATCAGAGTGATGCTTAAAGGAGGACTACACTATAGCGCTTATTACAACTGATGGCCTTAATATAAGGTGCAATTGGCAGATTTAATATTAGGAGGCCTCGTATAATAGAGGGTTCAATGCAGCTGAGGGAACTGAGGAAGAGTTTCGTGGTTGAATGACGTTGGGCCAAACGAGTTGAATGAGTTGCATCCTGGGATTAATGAAAACATTGCGCCTAATGTTGACAGGTTGACTAATGCAAGGCCTCACTTTTGTTTGTATTTTGGCCCCAATGAAGATGGTTTTGGATCTTATGGGAGATGTCATGACGAAGGGCCCAACGAGGTTAAAGAAATTGGCCATGGTCATAACAGGAGGTTTAATTTTGTCCTCATTGAGAGACTTATTGTGGGGAAATTTCAGCTAGGTCCGAAAGATGTGTATGCTGATGACATCTATGGAGACCCAGGGACTTGGGGTTACAGAGGGAAAGGAGTAGGGATGCACCGGTAGAGTGCCACAAGTAGAATTGGGTGTACCTACTGACAAGGAAATGTTGATCCATTGGAATAATTCCAAGTTTTCAGGCTACATGGGAAACACTTGTACTCATACAATAGCAATTGCGGATTAAGACCTTGAGGTCTAGGTGCCTTAGTGGGGGTGTAACAATGTTAGTCCTTAATTTTTTGGATGGCAATTATAGTATTTTCATGTAATTAGTCTATAAAAGAAGAGGAGAGGGGAAGGGGAACGGCATGTGTTGGTGATGCTTATTTCTTCATATTACAACCAAGTCGATTGAGTCAGCATCATGGAGTGTTGACCCATCTATTGGATATAGGCCGTTTACTTGTTTGTCAGTGTTGTTCATGATTTGTTTGTTTAATTTTCTGTTCATCATCAATATATTTCTATTTGATTCCTGTTACAAACTCTTCTACTTGTGTCATCCTGCAAACAAACAAACATCATATATTGTGAATCTTGATATACAGTTCATGAACGATGCATAGCTTTAGGTCTATTACTTAAAGGAATCTTTCATTAATGGAATGTCATTTCAAATCATTAGAACTCTGATACACCATTTTGGCTGATCATACTAATTAAAAGGATTTAGCTTAGGTTAGTGCTTGCTAGTTGACTTAACGTGGCATTTATCGTGCAAAAGAGCTTGATAATGGTTGCTTGGTCAATGGTTAAAGCCGAGTTCCTAGTAGTGTTGTTGAGGAAGTTGTTAAAATTTGTCAGTTCTTGAATGGTGGAGACTGATCTTCTACATGTTTCCATGTTCACAGCCAGTGGTGAATTTGATTTCTGGGATCTAATAGTCTTCCGCGTTGCTTCCATTGCCTTCCTGAACTATCTGCTCTTTAGAGATATGTTTTTAGTAATGCTACTATCTTTATCGCATGAGCAGTATAAGTTCTATCTTAACTTCTAATGCATCATTAAATAAGTTATTTTTCCCTTGGGGTAGAGGAAAGGTTTGCGTACATCCTATCCCCTAGACCCTACTTACATGGGATTTACTGGGTTGTTTGGTTTTGTTAGATCTATTTTGCCTAGCTCCAGATGATTCTGAATAAAACCCTTAAAACTCTGGACCAGTTATTCTTTTGACGAGTACGTGGATGGCCATGTAAAAATAATAACCATATAATACATTGTTGCAGGAAATACTGGTTGATAGGTCCGTTCATGCTGCCATTGGCCGCTTTGTGTCCCATGGCTTGGCTTTTGGGAACAACAAAAAGCCTACTTTGGTTAAGGATGATTTTCTACAAGCAATAAAAGGGTTTCTGCCAATTGCTATGCGAGATATTACTAAATCTGCTTCTGAGGAAGGCCATGGAGGCTGGCAGGATGTTGGTGGTCTAACTGAAATTCAGAACTCTATCAAAGAGGTATATATTTTCTTTTACGGTGTCTTTTCTTCATGACAACCCCTTGGTACTCGTTACCAAATACTGCTACTTCTCCTCACTGAAATATGGAAATCTCAAAAGCTTACGTACCACATGGAATACCATATGTAGCTTTTCCAATCCTGTTAGCAAGGGTATTTGCAACAACCACCAACTTCTGGAATCATGTGTTCATTCTGAGGATGCAGATGGTATTTTCTCTCTTTCAGGCCGCCTGAACATTGGAAGTTCGAACATGTAAAATACATTTTAAACTGGTTGCTGAGATCTAGATTCTTGGGTGCACAAAGGCCTTTTCTAGATGTCTGGACAGCTGAAACATAATGCTCCGTGGTTTCTTCTCTTTTGCATCTTTGAGCTTTTAGTTTTATAAATTATTATTTATTTGTTGACTTCAGTTCATTCAGATATTATGTTAGATGCACAGCTTAAAGCTTCTAATGCAAACAATAATAGAGTAACTAGAATGAAGCAGAAATAAGCATATGCATTGTTGCAAGGTTAATCTTGTGTTGACCTTTTTAAATACAATTCTCGGCTCCCTTTGCACTTGTCTTCTTGCTTTTAACTTTTGTACAAATTCATCCAAGTAAATTGTTTTTTGCTTCTGCTGTCCTTTATGCTCGTAATACCATTTCATATTTTACTACATCAGATGATTGAATTGCCTTCGAAGTTTCCGATGATCTTTTCACAAGCTCCTTTACGGATGAGGTCTAATGTTCTCTTATATGGCCCTCCTGGGTGTGGTAAAACACATATTGTTGGCGCTGCTGCTGCTGCATGTTCACTACGATTCATCTCCGTGAAAGGGCCTGAGCTGCTGAATAAATACATCGGTGCTTCTGAGCAAGCAGTAAGTAATACACTTTTTAAACTCTTAGTTGCAATTCAGATCAATGTATTTGACAAACTATATGCATCTTCGTTTTTGTAATGTCCTATCAGAATTCTCTATAGTATATGTGCTAGCTTTCTTTTGAGACCATCATCCTTTAAGGCAGTAATTCAATTTTATCCTAGAATAAGTTTTTGATGCTCTGTAATAGCTACTTTAGTTACTAGTTCCAATTCCAACTAAGACGATAGTAATAGTTTGTAATCATTATATTAAACATTGGCGTACAGAATGTTTAAAACAAGAAAAGCAGAAGACACGTATTCCTTAAGCTTGATATTACTGAGACCTCCCTATTCAAATGCTCATGCTTGTAGATGTGGTGGTAATTCAAATACTATTAAAGAGCTCAGGTTTAGTATGGTTATTGATCAACATCGTCACTTCTGTCTTTGTTTCATACAGTTCATTCACATCCTTGTTGCACATTGTGGTAAAGCTGGATTATTCTCTCTTCATGGGACTGGCGGTGTTAGAGCTTGATATCCATAATGGCCTGGCCCTCTATATGACATCTTAATCTTTTTCACTATTCGTTTAAAATAATGATCTAGCAGAAAAAATTTAATCCTTAAAACATGTTTTAGGGAACCAATTTAGGTGGATTTTGACCATGTGGATCAATGAAAAAGAGGTGATGAGCAAAGCTATAAAAGTAACTTCATTTGGCCTTGTGGTTGGTTCACTTGGTGTTTTGGCAGTCCGAAGTTGTGTTTTGGCTTTCCAAGACAGCAATAGAAAATGTCCAGCTTCCATGGCGTGACGTACATTAAATGTACGAGGTTGATAAATGAAATTTGTTGATTGTAATCAGATGAAACATACTTCGTCACTCGGTGGAAATCTGTTTTCATGTATGGAAAAGCATTGTTGCTGATTGATTCTTCAAAAAACTCAGAACATACATTTATCAGAAACTAGAAGATTATCATATATAGGTTGGATGAGATAAATTACCTTGCTATAATCTTTTCTCTATTCTAGCTCAATGATTCCCATGAACTGGTAATATCCAGAATTTTAAGATCCAGTCAGTACAGGCATAACCTGCACAACTGCAGAAAACTACAAGACAGATTCAGGACAGCATACAGGCTAATCCCAAATATACAAATATGAGGTTCTTAAGTTCATATAAATCCTCTTTGATACCTTGAGAGGCTGTTCCTGACTTAGGATTATAGTTTACCACCAGTCGGTAAATTTTGGCATTCTATGGTCTTCCATTCTCTAAACCTGGTATGCCATATAAACTCTCGGCATAAGCGGGTGCGATTTGTTAAGATGCTTCAGAAGTTCATCTTTTGGTCAAGCATGTTCAAAACATGTTGTAGATGTTAGATTGCAGTATCTATTGTGTGAATATGCTAAGCTCTTCAAAGAGGAGAAAATCTGAAGTGTTGAAGACATTCTCATGTTTGTTTATGGTAATGCTTCTGGTGCTGATAGTTTGATTGCAGGTACGTGATATATTCTCGAAAGCAGCTGCTGCAGCACCATGCCTTCTCTTTTTTGATGAATTTGACTCCATTGCTCCGAAAAGAGGTCATGACAATACTGGTGTGACCGATCGAGTTGTTAATCAAGTTAGTAAAATATCTATACAACTGAATTTGTAGTCTTTGTACAAAATTATGCTACCTTTTTTTGACTATTATACTGAATGACGTTTCTATCAAATCTTCCTAGTTCCTAACGGAGTTAGACGGTGTTGAAGTGTTAACTGGGGTATTTGTTTTTGCTGCCACAAGGTCAGTGATTGATTGATATTGTTTTTTCATATATGATATTAATTAATTGTTTATTGTTGCTCATAGATACTAACCTGTCCATTTGATCATTCCTTGTCTTATGTGGCTATACATTTATTTGACTGTGTGCGCATGTGACTAGAAGTTTAATAACCACCATGCCCGTTACAGGAAAAAGGTAGTTTTGTGTTTAGCGATGACACAAGGAGACCTTTTACACAAGATTATAAACATCCAAACTTGAATTAAGTTAACTTTCTAGAAAGACCAAATGACTTATCATCAACATTTGTAGGCTTGGCTTTTGATATAGAGTGAATGCCATTATGCTATATGCATGTCGTTGAAAGCCTAATAGGTTCACTGTAGCAAATATCTGTAAACGTTCATTTAGCAACCATCATTTCAGATCTTTTGAGAGACTGCATTTGAAAAATATAAGTTCCCGTTTGGTTTGTAGGATTGGATTGGATTTGGAATGGAATTACATTCCAATCCCATGTTTGGTTTGAAGGACTTCGTAGATTTCAAATCCCACAAACAGGGGATTTAGGAATCCTACGGGGGTGTTTATTTCATGGGATTTCGTAGGATTTGTATGTTGTGATGTTTTAAAATATGTTAAAAACATTTGTTTTGTAATAATCAATCAATAAAAAGGTACTTCAATTATTTTCATAATTATTTATAATTTGTTTTATAAATAATTCATAAAGAATGAATTCAATTCTATTCCAAATGCTACAAACCCAACACACCAAAGATTCTAAATCCTTCCAAATCCAAATCCCTTCACGAAATCTAAATCCCTCAAAAGTTTGCGAAGGTGCTGTTCTCTTTTGTGGTAACTAGCTCGCATATATGCTCACCCCCCTTCATTAGGTCCTATGCAGTATCAAAATATTGATTGAGGGCAATGGTTCTGTTGATGGCAAAAAGTATCCTATTGTTTATGAATATATCCAACAATTGGGAATCTGGAGACTGAATTACTCCAATTTGAAGATGGAACCAATATAATTTCTAAAACTAGGTCGTCATTTTCTCCATCCTAGTTCGAGAATTATATATTTTATGGAAATCCTGAAAACCAGATTACTACAAGGCTGATCCCCATCTGTGTCTATGGTCAAGTAATATTTTGTTTTGAACTGTTGACGGGCATTTTAAAAAATTTACTTTGCTGGAAATAGGTATTATGTGCGTGGGTGTAACTAGGCTCGAGCTGTATATTGTTATTAAACTATATATATGGACCTACCTACCAGGCTTATCTCTTTTACCAGAGAATTGTACCGTGAATGTATTAAGTCTTTGTAGGCTATCATTCACTTTTTACCTTGATTGCTTATGACATTCTGATGCTATATGTGATTGATGTATATATAGCTGTTTGTTTCCTTGATCTGTGTGTCCCCATGCATAAAGACAAGAAAAGATTTTGTACGTTCCAAAATTGGAGACAACTTTGACTTTTAAACATCAAACGGTGGTGTTTCAGCATCAATATGTATACGAATCATACATAATACATATACTATTGTAATAGAAAAGATGGATAGCTAAAGATATGAAGGGAATATGATTGTTCAAATTCATCGTTATTCTCTGATTGGAACATTTGAAGTTTTATTTGCTAGAAATTTGTCTTCTTCTAATGAATACTAAGAACAGTGTTTTTTTTTTTTGAATTTACAGTCGGCCTGATTTACTTGATGCTGCCCTGCTGCGACCTGGTAGATTAGACCGCCTACTTTTCTGTGATTTTCCATCACCACAAGAGAGATTAGATATTCTTAGAGTTCTTTCTCGAAAGGTAAGAATTACCTGGATGTGTATACTCACTCACTTTGTGGATGCATCATCTGAGCCTCTAGAGTTTGTTTCAATATCAGTTACCCTTGGCCAATGATGTCAAGTTGGAAGCTATAGCTGGAAAGACGGAAGGATTTAGTGGAGCAGACCTCCAAGCTCTCTTATCAGATGCACAGCTTGCAGCTGTTCACGATCTTCTGAACAGCAAAGATGCTGATAGGCCTGGAAATATGATGCCGGTCATCACCAATGCCCTCTTGCAGACGGTTGCTGCCAATGCAAGACCGTCAGTTTCAGAAGCTGAAAAACACAGATTATACAGCATTTATGGCCAGTTCTTGGACGCTAAAAGATCTGCTGCTGCACAGGTCTTTCTCACCACCCTCTCTCATGCACACAACCTACTTTGGTTTGGGTCAAATAAGTTATGTTTCAAGTTGTATGTAGCACAGTTGGTTCCGGGGTGGTATATTTGCACAAACAAGTGATGGTTCAAATCATGCAGCCGCAGTGTGGGAATTACAATTCTTTTGGGGATTGGGCTCCTTGTGGGCACAAGGCTCTTAAGATAGCCACCTAGCAGCTGTTGTGTACCTGATTTGCCTTTCACATGATGCTCTTGGGCAGGGCAGTGTGGGCTGACTCGGGAATTTGCCATTTACAAACTCTTCTGCAACAAAAGTTATATATATATATATATATATATATATATATATATATAGTCAGATTCATACAAGAACAATAACCAAATAAGAGAATAAGAAAATAATTGAATCGCATGTGATTTTACACTAAAATGACGTGTAAAATCACATGTGATTCAGGTTGCGGCCTTGTCGCCTGCACACGCTTGCATTGACCATTAGTGTAAAATCACACGTGATTTGTCCGTTTGTGTATAATCACATGTGATTCAGGTCGCAGCCATGTCGCCTGCACATGCTTGCATCGACCGTTAGTGTAAAATCACATGTGATTTGGCCACGTCGCCCGCACCCGTGCGTTGACCATTTATGTAAAATCACATGTGATTTGTTCTCGTTTAAACCTCCCTCTCTCTCTCTCTCTCTCTCTCTCTCTATATATATATATATATAGGGGCAGGTTCAAACGAGAAGCTAAACATTTTGCGAGAAGGCAAGAAGTTTCAATATCATATATGATTACACGCATGATACACAAGCTTAATCATATATGATTAAACACATGATACACAAGCTTAATCATATATGATTAAACACAAGCTGCATTGACAACACATAAACGCTTAATCATATATGATTAAACACAAGTTGCATTGACAACACATAGACGCTTAATCGTATATGATTAAAATAACCAAAGGAGTGTAATCATATATATGATATTGAGACTTCTCGCCTTCTCGCATGATCCTTCCTCTATCTCTCTATATATATACCGACTAAAGATTTGATAAAGATTCTTCAACATCTATACTAAAGTTTACACAAGTAGAAATAGTTTTCATGTTAAATTGGTTACCAAAATCCAAACTCAATTTCAGTTTAAAAGTAAAAGCCCAAGTGCTGCCATGTTCCTGGAGTGTCTGCATGTGGCTGAGTCGATTTCTTAACCTAACTTTTGTGCAGTCGAGAGATGCGAAAGGGAAAAGAGCAACTCTTGCATAACTGATCGTGGATTACGTTTGCAATACCAGGACTCATGGGGCTGGTCGGCCACCCACCGACTTGATATGCATATAGGTAACTGCTGCTGAACTTATAGAATCTGCAAGTTCAATATCATGGATGATTTTGCGTACCAATTGGGTTGTCTTGAAAAATTGATTGTAACACAACTCACTTTACTAGTCTTATTTCGTTTTCGCTCACTTTTCTTCACAAAGAACATCTGCCCTACCCTTCAGGTCCGCATACATATCATTTTAGTTTGATAGATGATAGCAACAAAGAGTCCCCAGGAGGATAGTGTGTCAATTTTATTAGTTTTAAAAGAATATCTTTTATGAAATCACATATTCATCAAATTAAATGGACGGTTGAGATTGAGTTGTAATGGTTGTACAGATGTAAAGGCTTGCATAATAACTCACCTATATATATATATATACATATATATATATATGTTGGCAACACAAAGAAAGGCCATGACTTTTAACACTTCTCAACCGTTTGTATAGTTTTTTATGATTTGAATTGTTAAATTCTCCTAGTTTGTTGTATTATTTTGAATCTTACAATGTATTACGCTAACTGTGTAAGTGTTTACCAGGTGAGCATGGCATGGACCAAGAACTTTACCTGGTAAATGAGGTTGGTGACTTTTACCCGGTTAATGTTTACATGGTCATTGCCGCTTACTAATAATCTTACTATGTCATTTTCATAGTCAAGAATCCTATCTGGCTAGGGTGGTCGTTTACTAAACACTTACCAGCAAGAGTCACCTACCTTATCGGGTAACATTCTTGGCCACTGAAATGAATCATTGTAAGCGTCCCCAGTAATCGTTTACTGGGTAAGAAGACTCATTCATCAGGTAAGATTCTTGGTCCCTATGCTCACTCAGTAAGGTAAGCATCAGGTGATAAACGCTTACTGATAAGTGTTTGATAAACAATTTCTTAGTTTAAGTTGGCCCAATACCGTCATCTTTGTAATAGATAAAAGGGGGTTATTAGTTCAAAATGAAAACTACAATGATTGGGTTCTTATTGTCTGGGACCTAATATCAAAATTACGTTTTAGAAAACATACACATTATAATATACTAGAAGGGTACTCGCACAATGCAGCGAGATAAATCTCGACTTTAATGTTTAGTTTTTATTCTGTCTCTATCAATATAATATGATTTTATGTGGTTTTGAGAAAGAGGTAGTGTTTTTATTTTTAAATTAAAATGTAAATTTAAAAATAACATAAAATTTTGTAAAAAAATAAATCGATAATAGTAATTAACTATTTAATAATTCTTGTTTTTTTTTTGTGTAACTTCTTTAATTCAATTTTTTTAATTATAATTTAATTTAGATTTGATAACAAAATAATTTATTTTTGGTTTAATAATATTGTTGCAAATATCGATCACACCACACTCGTTCCAACCTAGAAAAACGGGATCGAAACGAGCAGAAAATTAATCGAAATTTAACCCAAAATCCAAAAATAACTCAACCGAGTTTGTAATGCGGAAACGGTAAGTTCGAACGTGCTCGACGGAAACAATAATCAACCAGAAAAATAAACGTAACTTGACGGAAATAAACAAGAAAGAAAACAACGGATATACATGGAAAACCCAAAACGGGAAAAAACCACGGGCGGAGGATACCATCGAGAAGTCCACTATTATCGATTGATGTTACAATGCTTGAGAAAMTGGAGAAATCGATGAAGAAATTCAGATCTAATGCTAATCTAGATCTCTATTCTAATTGTTGGGAGAGAGTGCTCCATGTGGGGTAGTTTTCTGGAGTTGAGAGCATCATATATATATATAGAATATTGAGAACAAGATGGATGGTGTGGCTGAAAAGCAGCCGTAAAACATGCATGGATGTCACCACCACTTCCACTTAAAACGGATGGTATTGGAGAACATATTTCCTCTTTTTATGGATGGTATCATGAGCATCTCCACTTATTTGGAGTCAATCATTTTACAATCTCCACCTTGACTCCATAATTGCATCATCCTCAACAAATATCTTTCTCCATGAAACTAAGCTCCAACACAAGCTCCAAGAAAAACATCATCAATAACATATATAGTGAACTTAAACATGACTTCTCGAAAGTGGATTAACTAGTACATACCTCCTCCGCCAGCCCTCCACGGGCTACTCCAAACCACGGATTCCRACTAAGTTTTTAAACAAATCAAACTTAGCCGTCGGAAGAACTTTGGTCATCATATCGGCTGGATTAACATGAGTAGAAACCTTCCTCACTTTGAAGTCTCCTTTAGCAATGACCTCTCTTATAAAATGATAACGCACATCAATATGTTTTGTGCGCTCGTGGAACATTTGATCATTTTCAAGAATATGGCACTCTGGTTATCACAGAATACCGAGTCCACTGTAAGCTCATCACCGCTAAGGCTTTTGAACAAGCCTTTAAGCCATATCGCCTCTTTAAAACCCTCGGTAACAGCCATGTATTCAGCCTCAGCTGTAGAGAGAGCAACCGTTGGTTGAAGAACGGCTTTCCAACTGATGGCACACGACCCCATAGTAAACACATACCCGGTAAGAGAACGCCGGCCATCCAAATCTCCACCATAGTCAGAATCAACATACCCTTGAACACCGTCCCTTGAGGTTCCAAAACACAAACAATAGTCTCTAGTACCCGATAGGTACCGGARAACCCACTGAACTGCCTTCCAATGCTCTCTACCCGGATTARCCATATAACGACTTACCATGMTTACAGCATAGGCTAAGTCCGGTCTCGTACAGATCATCGCATACATCAATGACCCAACTGCACTAGAGTAAGGAACCCGAGACATGTACTCTTTTTCTTCATTAGAATCAGGGCATTGACATGCAGATAATTTAAAATGAGMGGCAATGGGAGTATTTACCGTTTTGGCGCCATACATGTTGAACCTCTTCAACACCTTCTYGACATAGCTCCTTTGACTAAGTGTCAAAGTTCTCGCCTTTCGGTCTCTAGAAATCTCCATGCCAAGAATCTTTCGAGCCTTGCCTAAGTCCTTCATTTCAAACCCTGTATTCAATTGATCCTTGACCAGTTGGATATCTTCCTTGTTCTTTGAAGCTTTTGTACCATTGCCTTGGCGATTGCATTAGCCCATATAATGACTTCTTCAGCCTGCAAACCAAATCCTCTTGACCAACACTCACAAAACCTTGAGGTTGATCCATATAAATGTCTTCCTCTGGAATCTGACTGAAACCCATCGCCACAAGCCGAGCCTTATATCTGAGAGGCTCTACATCCGATATCCTTTCCTTCTTCTTGTACAACCATTTGCATTTAATTGCCTTTTTACCTTTGGGAAGAGGAACGAGCTCCCAAGTACCATTTTTGTGTAGGGACTCCATCTCATCATGCATTGCCACAATCCATTTTTCTGAATCTTCAGAATCAATCGCTTCATTATACGTAGATGGATCCTCAACTGACTC